TCTGAGCATGTGAGTCTGATCCCCTCTTTTGTATGTAAAATTTATAGTCTTTGACTTCGTCATTTGAATAAATGACATTATTCATCTTTAAGAACGAGTTCTAGTCAATCTTATATATAATAGTTAGCAAAAACTAGCTGCGGTGAGCCTGATTAGCATTGGAAGACATAAATGTATATCTATCCTAGATATGAGACATGATATTGACCTACAAGTTACTAATATTATTTTTAACATTATCTGAAAATTCATTTATCTGCATCTTCTTGCGCACCAGAAGAATTTTATTGCTCATTTGAGATAGTAAAGAATTTTGCCCTTTTTTTGTTCATACAATTAAGAAAATTATTCTTCCTTAGTTATTCGAAACCTTCCGTCTCTGTCGTAAATACAAACATATTTGACTAAATTCACTTCAGTTTTCTTTGCTTGTCACTGACCTAAACTGACTTTAAAAACCTAATTATCTTTAGTTGCAATTACGAAAAAGGAAATAGGACTTAAAATTATTCTATTTAATGTCATAAACTACATTTCTTTTTATTAAGGATTTCTTCGTAATTCGGAGCTATTGCTGTGTATAAATCACACAGACTTGTCGCGTATACGTATTTCATGGGCGCTAGCGCGCAAGTCGGTGAGATTTAAACACCAGTACCACCGTGTATATCACAACATGCGGGATGTATGCTTCCGAAGCGTTAGAAAGGGGGTCAATGTACGTTACTTGTCCATTTTCTCAACTTTCGGATATTTTTCGCCAGTAAGCATATGCCTACAGAAGGAAGCATTGTCTAAGGAGTATATGGATACCTGTGAATCCACTGGACACCTTCTAGTTTTATCAAACACCTCAACATAATTCCGAGGATCGGAGCAAGTTTGCTTGGCAATATTCCTTGTCATTGTCAAAAAATTCTGTTATCTGTATTTACACATATTTAGTCAATATTATTTTTACGTTTGCAGTTTGGATTTTCCTCTGTTATAACAATTTAGTTGTATGTTGATAAAGCTTCGAAGTTCAATAAAAATTAAAGCACGAAAAAAGGTTTTAATAACTTCACAGCTGCTTTTTCTGAGTTATAACCTCTGTTACGGAGTTCTTGCATGTGGAGATTTGGAGCAGCCATAAAAATAAAACGAAGAAAGATTGACGTGTAAAATTTCATTTTATTAATAAAGGATGTTTACTTTATCAATCAAACACAAAATTATATCACTGCTCTTAAATTTGTTTTTCAGCACTATGGACTTGTTAAATGTATGAATTAAACGGGATTGACTGAACTACCTTTTGGAAGTCCATGTAAAATTTATTAATGTATGCATATCCAATGTTTTATTCAGGTTTAGATACTAGTAAATATTTAATTGAGCGAAGTTTAATTGAGGTGAGGCGGATGACGAGAAAAGACTTGCAAGCCTTCTCTCTAATTATGTATCTGCCGATATTTTAAAAACAGCTTATAGAGACAAAAGAGTTACATTTTTGAATAGAAAATGGGGATAAGATGACTCGACCCCAGATTTAAAAAGAAGAAAAAATGGAAAAACGAAGGGGGGGGTCCATACCCCAAGTTCCTGTGGTTGTAAACCTGAAATACATTAATTATTCAATAATGTACTTACGAAAACCTTAGATGATAAAAAAAGTTAAAATAAGGGTTTTTATTATGAAACCAAAATGGGGTTTTAATTTATTAGCATGTGACTTAGTATATGCATAACTGTTACGAGTGCGCAATGAAGCTGTGTATATACCCTTGAAAACTTCAAAACATTTACTGATAGATTAATGTCCTTTTTCAGATTTTTTTGGAAAAGAGTGAAACATAGCAAGAGAAAATCAACGTATATTTAGCTATACACCTCTGTGACCCCTTATGAAACCAAAGGATCATTGAATGGATACTTTGTGGCATTAATTTTAACTTTGTTTGATGATTAAGCATACAAAAACGTACACTGTGTAGCTATAAATTAAGGGTATTCAAATTACTTAGTATTGCAGTAATTATCACAACCCTTTCGAAACATTAACCATAAAGGAATACAAAAGCTTCTTTTTACTGTGGTAAATGGTTTCGTGACAAGCAACGAAACTTTACGTCATTTTGTAAAATAAGCTTGTAATAACGACAAGCGTGAAATTTTTCTTAAATACCAATATCTTTTTTATTTGTATATACAATCCAGAATCTTTTACTCTCTCAAGTGGAAATTAAAAAAAAAACCTCTGGTGCGCAAGATTGTGAGATAAATACAACTATAGATACGAGGGTCATTCAATAAATAATGCAACCTGACATCTAAGGATACGTAAAATTACGTAATACATATTCTTACTAGTTTCAATCCTTCAATGCATTTCCTGTTACCCTTTACACATGCCTTAGGCCAATTTTAATAGTCGCCGCCTACTGACGGCGAACACAAAGTCGCACGACGTTTACATGCATATCAGACCTCCTAACCTCCTGGACTATAGCTTGGCAAAATTTAAATTCTGGTAGAATTATCAAAAATTATCAAAAATTAACTCAACTAACTTTTAAAGATTTATCACAGTGAAAAAAGAATGAAAATATTTTTACATATTCAATTTTTATTGTACTTATTTAAAACGTACATACTAATATATTCAAGGTACTGATTTAAAATACTATAAAACTTCATTGTTTGCATGACATGAAATTATTATAAAATTGGTTTTCTGTCAGCCTTGCAGTTTGTTTTTAAAACCAGTAACATTCATAAAATAGTGTTTTCTTTTCTTTTACTAAATCATGGTTTATATCTGACTGCCATTTGGCACATATTTGCAGTAAAACCATTAAAAAGAAAATATCGCAGTTGTTCACTTTTTGAACAGCACTAGAAAGTACCAACGTATAAACCAAAATAGCAGTCTTTTGGGGTTTTCGGGTTTTCGAGAACTTTTAAAAGTTGTTTTATACCCTCGTGGAAATAAACACGCCGAAAGTATACATCAAAGAAATTATAGTGAGTGTAAGTGTTACCCTATAACAGTATCTGTCCAATTTCTTTCCCCAATGCACCCTGAGGGCGTCGACAGTGTTTTGTTTATGATCATGATCCTCGTCAGAAGTAGTATTGGTGTCTTCATAGTCTATCTTGGGGACTTTGCAGACGCAACAGACTCCACAGACCTTTATACCTTTACTGTAGACACGATGAATAACGACTACACAAAACTGGACAAAGCCTGCCATCAGAAGATCAAAAATCACCTTCATTCCCATATATGTGTAATTAGTAGCTGTTGATCTTGGAATGTGCTCAGCGACTAAGGTAAATTGCTATCGAAAGAAGAATTGTAACCGAAAAACTAGATCTTTCACCACAATTTCAAGGCATCCAAAATACCAGTGTTTGAAGAAATTGCATCAAAGTAAGGGGAAAGATTAGAAAACACACGTGATAGGATGGGTGACGTTGTATCTGAAACTCAATCTTAGCGTTGGAAATCTTGGAAGTTCCATTCTTTCCGAAATAATCAACGTTGTCAACACTGATTTTTGTGTTTTCTAATTTCCAATCTTTGTTTTGTTCGTAAAACTTTGTGTTGACTTCACTCTCAGATGCTTGTAAGATTATTTCTCCCTTAAAGAACCCCCATGCCACTACGTCTATCGAACAATGCTGTGTGTCCCAAGGAAAAGCGAAAAAGTCTGTATTGCAGTACGAAGTAAATACGTCCGTTTTAAACATCAATGCAGAACCATCTCTGTAAAACATTACTGTTTCATCGACCATTTTCTCAAGATCAAATCTGCTGTTATGATTCATCTGACGAATTTCTGGAGTCCAAACTTCTGATTCCTTGAAATACACCGTTTCGAGGGCCCACGAGGAATCCCAAATCGTGGCAATTCTTGAATCTATCCAGGACGTTTCTAAGTATCCACTTACTGAAAATTTACCGTTCATGTCATCAAACTCTATTAAATGAAAAGCGTTGAATGATATGTTGACAACAGTCTTCGTACTGTTTGGTGGTGAATTCTTTGTGTAGTTCTGGAGAAAATCGGTAGAGGGATTGGAATATAACGAAGACGTAGGGGGATATAATGTCATCATGACGATCAAAATTGTATTGACAAACATGGTGCTTTCTGAAAAACCAAAAAAAAGATATATGTATTAATACCGTATAAGTGGAAATTTTAGCGAGACGTAAATTTAGGGATTTGACCTTAAAAAATGGTATTTTAATTTTAGCGAGAAGTAATTTTAGCGATTTAAAAATCGTCACTAAAGAAGATATAACAACTACAACACAATTAATTTTTAGCGATATTTAATTTTAGCGATCTCAGGACACTCGCTAATAATGCCAAAATTAAATCCTCGCTAAAAATTCTACTTATACGGTATATACTGTAGTGGACATAAAAACAAGAAGTATGGGTCATGTGAAGGGCGACTAGACGCTACAGTACATACTCTGTTCTGGCACTTAGGATTTGTTACAATACTTTGTCATTTAGGATCAGAGCCTTTAGAGCGTTTATTAAAGTTTTTTTTTTTTTTTTTGATCTTATAGAAAACATAAGATGAAATAAAATCATGATGTTCAGCCAATGGACCACGAAAATATTGATTGATATGGAGTTATTCGAAAGTCCAGTTTCCACTTCAATTGAAAATGATTCGAACTTGCAACAAAAGAAGCATGTCCTTTCTCCATGACTTTTGAGCAAACGTTCTAACAACTGTGCCACGTGGGCGATGGGTTGTTTTGTTTTGATATGAATTCCGTAATTATTTCGTGTATGAGCAGAAACGAAACCTGTGCAAATGTCTTACAAATTTCTATAACTTTTTATATATCCTGGGTCATTAAGGGAGTCCGATCTTCATGTTTATAAAATTAGAAGTTAAATAATCAAAAATATTTATAAAAGTACCTCTGAATCCTTACAGTTACATGTATGTTAATTTATCAAAAGTATTCCTTTATAGTTAAAAATTAAGGTTAATCATATTATATAGAGAAAATTTCAAATCTCCAGTATTTTTGCAGAAAAAGTGAATCGGAATATCAGCAATGCATTTTCTAATTGTAAATTTATCAAAAAATATATTTTAGGTTGAAAAGGTATAGGTTCCAGGCATTCAGAGAAATTGTCATGATTTTTAGCTCACCTGAGCCGAAGGCTCAAGTGAGCTTTTCTGATCAAAATTTGTCCGTTGTCTGTCGTTGTTGTCGTTGTCGCATTTTCACATTTTCATCTTCTTCTCAAGAACCACTGGGCCAATTTCAACCAAACTTGGCACAAAGTATCCTTGGGTGAAGGGGATTCAAGTTTGTTCAAATGAAGGGCCACGCCCTTTTCCAAGGGGAGATAATCATGAATTTGTTAAAAATTAATGGCATTTTTAAAAAATCTTCTTCTCCAGAACTGCTGGGCCAGGAAAGATGAAACTCTTGTGGAAGCATCCTTAGGTAGTGTAGATTCAAGTTTGTTCAAATCATGACCCCCGGGGCAAGGGTGGGGCCAAAATGGCCGACCCTAGTTTTACATAGGAATATATAGGAAAAATCTTTAAAAATCTTTTTCTCCAGAACCACTGGGCCAGGAAAGATGAAACTCATGTGGAATCATCCTCAGGTAGTGTAGATTCAAGTTTGTTCAAATCATGACCCCCGGGGCTAGGGTGGGGCCAAAATGGCCGACCCAAGTTTTACATACGGATATATAGGGAAATCTTTTAAAATCTTCTTTTCCAGTCATTCACAGCTATGACTAGTGATATTTATCTGGAATCCTCCTCCGGTCGTGTAGATTCTAGTTTGTTCAAATGATGAATGCCTGGAGGGGGGGGGGGGTAAATTCAAGCCCGATGTGCTCAGGTGAGCGCTGTGGCCCCTGGGCCTCTTGTTAAACTTATTTGGTATTTTTTGTTTTCTATTTCCGTCATTTATTCTATAATTTGATACAATATGTAAAAAGGCTTTTGCTACATGTATCATTGCAAGACAACATCGCAAATCACTTTTTATTTCATATCAAGCATAAGTATCTAAGGCTGGATTAATGAAAATCTTATTTCTCTAAAGCTGTACTATTTTATTTTCCTTTTATAGGGTAAAAATGTTATGTTATGTTTTATAAGACTTTTATAAGACCTTTTCTAAGACTTCCAAAAACCTTGAATCTTATAAATAAAGATGAATAAATGAAATTTTTGCATGAAATATTTTATGTTCAAACTTCATTTTGATGCATTTAAAATTAAAATTTGATATCGGGATTTATCCTTCCTGGCTAACTGGCTAAGGATCGGATAACATCAACTTTTTTTGCAGGAAATGAATTTTATATATTTGTATATATAAAGAAAAATAATTTTCAGTGCTCTTTGTTAACTACTTTTCTAAAACGTTCGTCCTATAATGATTCTTCAACACTCGGTAAGCCTCGTGTTTCTTGAAATTTAATTTAATATAGTGAAATCGAGTCTGATAAAACCTTATTATGTACGACGACTTGATATGTACCTATATACATGTATTACTGGCGTATGCTTGTATATTAAAAACAGAAATTGGATGACAATTCATATAATCCACTTTCATACCAAAGTACTTTAAAGTCTAGTTTCTCTTTCGTAGTTATAAATGTTAATCAAAGTGTTTATTAACTAAAGCAAAAATCTGTTTTTTAAAATGAAAGTACATTGTACTAAAATATACATTGCATAAAGAGATGAAAAAGAAAGTTACTTGGAAATTGCTTTGAGCAGTGTGAACTAGGCCACTTAAAAATTACATTGCTGATATGATTATAATTTTAAAGCCATGGAAAGTGAAAAAAAGTTTTACCCAGTATTCAAATGCAGGGGTATTTTTTCTTGGTTCAAAATTATGTGCCTCTACAATTTCCTTACCTTTTGTGGCAAAGGTTCTTTCCTGTTTCTTTTGAAATGGTTCAATGATTTAAAAAAATTATTGACACAGGTTTAAAAGTTCAATACTCTCACGACAAATTGATAACCATGTTATACAAAAGGTACAACAGGTACCGGGGTATTAGTTTTTAAAATGAAAACGGTAAAGACAGCAAGAAGTTGTATTATACAACTGTATATACAGTGAAAACAAAATTAAAAATCTGCATAAAGAGGTTGAATGCGATGTCAGACCCACATTGGAAATTCAGTTGCAAAAACGAACCAGATTGCTGGACCCAGTGATATCTTTCACTGAGATTCCTGGACATCTGAATGAAATGATAAGATATCATGGATATATCTAAATTTCGAACTGAAGGCCACAGCAACAATTCTCCTCATGTAGAGGTTTATAAATACATTTTGCTTTATGAAAAAAAAAAATGCATTTCTACCAATGTACAAAGGATCATTGATATTTCAAACAGATACATGTAGACGGAGAATGGTCTTCAAACTGTTAATGAAGATTGTCGATGAAATATCCTTAAGTATAATTCAAATTAAACCTTATTGAACATTTACTGGACACTGCAAGATTTTTATGAAGTTTTAGACAGCAGTGTATACAATTAATTAATGCGATTTCGGATAAGAAATTATTGAATGAAATGTAAGACAAAAAAAATCGACATCTGTTACTCTACAAAAATAAACTTCAAAGTTGGCTTACAAGAGAACAGAACTTTAAAAGCACTCTCTGAAAGTAATTAAGACATAGGAATATTTTTACGTTAAAGCATTATTTTATATAAGTGTGACGATTTTTCAACTCTTTGCGCTTTACTGAGAGCTGCTCTATCTGAAGTCAAAACAGATAACCAAAGATTTACTGACTGTCATGAACAAAGCAAATAGCAGCTTTAAGTATATATTTGCATAAAGCTTCTCCTTGGATTAAAGATCGTCAATGTTTAACTAGTAAGAATTATTTAACTTTATTTACATTGCAAGACTACACCAAAGGCCAAACTTTTTTTATTCCATCGGTTGAGCATTTAAGAGTTTTTAGTCTGTGCAAAGGGAAACATTGCAGTTTTTAAAAATAAACTACGTGTGTATATCATACATATTGAACTTGGCACTTACTTACTTTCTTTATATATTTTACGCCGACTTATAAAACCTATTATTAGATAGCTTCATATTTAGAGACGTATTTAGCAACAAAAACTAATACCTGCCTTCGGAATAAAATTAATTCAGTAATCATTATAATTCTAATCATTGGCCTAACTATTTGAGTATAACCAGGTTTGGGTCAGTTTACACTTCATAACCCGCAAAGCGAATTATCAAACAGAAAAAATTATCCAAACCAGATTTTACTCGAATAATTCGGCCAAAAATTGGAAATATTTTTTATGTATTTAATTTTAAAACCATTTAACAAAAGGGGGTTATAAGTTGCCTTTATCAATTTTTTTGTTTAAATTTGCCGCTCAATGTACAACCATAGTATGGAAAATGGTGGGAAGCAAAGGAAGTTATTATCTTTTACGAGTTGATGGTATCAGCTCATTTTATGTTATATGTAAGGGATTATCCCCTGCGAGGTGAAATTCATAATTTCAAGAACTTTTATGAATCATTCATGAACATTCATGACTGGTTCATGACTGGTTCATGACTGGTTCATAAAGATGGTTCATGAAATTTATTCATGAATATTTACATTTCCAATGTCTTTGTCCGAGATAAAATTACCAAATGTAAATATACTTTATTTCCCCATCAATGTATTGGCGCGGTTCCAAAAAAAACACGTGCAGGGCGGGACAAACAGCTAGACGAAAGCAGGGCTTGGAGCACGTAGATTGGCGGAATCAAAGCATGTAAATATAAGGAATAACTGTCAGATTTTTCAATTTCATGAAGATGATCAATCGACTGGTTTGCGTGATAATTTTATGCATAAACGCCTTCGGCGTTTATGTAAATTATCACGCAATCCAAATCGATTGATCACTTCATGAAATCGAAAAATAAGACAGTTATTCCTTAAATATATTCATAAAATGTAGTTCATGAACAAATGATGAATACATATGAATATTGGTAGTTTTCAATTTAAAGACAGAAAAAATGTAGAGTTCAAGGTATTATGAATGTTCATGAAT